TGATCCTGCACGTTCGGAGTGCGTTTCTTTTCAATACGTTGGTGATTTCTTGAACAATTTTTCGCCGTTTTTTTATTTGAGGGAATGTGTTTATTGAACATGTTGAGTATTTTTAAGCGAATATTTACACATTGGAACTCAAGTCATTTCACAAGTAAATTTCGCAATGCTTTTGCTGATTCAGGTCGTAGTTAATCCGCCATTGTTTATTTTCTAGTTCGGGTTTATCCAAGTACAAAAACATCCCCACCTCTCTAGTATCAAAGAATCTTTCACATGAAGAACCGGAGGGCATAGATATCGACGGCGTGGATAATTGTGAAAATGTACCTCCTCTAAAAAAAGTGGAGGAATCTTTCCAAGACAGGGAAATCGCCTCGTCATCACAAATAGCGGAAAGTCAGAGTGGCGCTCCTAAGGATCCAAGTTCGGTTAGTGGATTTCGCGTTCTTGTTCACATGGAGGCCTCACGATTGTCATCTACTAAAGCAGCATGGGAGGATGTTATGGCAGAGGAGGGCGAATCAATTCCTGAAAATGGTACGTATTTAATCCCTACTCGTCATTGATGTCACATCATATACTTATAAGTTTATTTTTAGCTGTCAGTAGCATCCGCGCGGCTGTCGGCAAGTGTGGTTTGTTGCTCACCAAGAAGTTTCCCTTCTTCTCGTCTCTCGTTGATCTGACGGAGGATTCTCTTCGCCAGCAGCAAGACGAAGCAGACGTAACACCCCATCAGCGTGCCAATATAAACGACCTGTTAGGGATGTGGGCCATAATATCTCAACAGATTGCTGATATTGATAAGTCATTCGAACGACTACGCAGGTGGCGGGAGGTCTCTGGTTGGGCCTTAAACACCCCACCGGTTACTCCTGCTAGAATGGCTGCTCCTGCCATCGAAAAAAGGAAAGGCATTGGGGGCTCGCGTTTGCCCAGGCCCGTCAAAGCTCTCGATCCTGATTCCGTCACAGTCACAGCTGCGCAAAAGTTGAAGCCTAAGGGCACGCTCAAGGTTGTGCTTATTATTTGTTGACTTATAATTGATTGGGTTAGCTCAATTGGCAATTGGTTAGTGTTATGTGATCGAACTGTTAAAACATTTTGCAAGAACCAGCTTATTTGTGAACAGTGGGTCTAGTGCCGGACACCGTCCTATAATTAACACTTTTTTGTTTTTCAAGCGTCTGCTTTCACCGTCAAGTAAATCTAAGGCCTCGAAACTACTTGTCTCCAAGCCGGTGAAGCGTTCCAACTTTTCGCAGTTCAAAGCACAGATGCTGGTCAGGAAGGAAGTGAATGAGGTAAAAGGGGGAGTGAAGGATGCTTCTCGAGTTAGTTCGCGAAATCATGACTCTCTTGGTATGCGGCGTTGCTATTATTATATTATTTATGATGCAATGCTCTCTATTGTTCTTTTTCTACTATAATCGCCAATATCGCAATGTTGTCCTGAAAAATTGGATTACGTTTCAAGCTCTTGCTTTTAACTTATGGTATCCAACCGAAGACGCATCCTTTGTGGATTTGTTCCCTCCGAAGAATGAGTCACTATTTTTGGGTTTCTGGCGAACTTGTCATATTTGGAATAGTAAATCATCACAAAACATTGAAAACTACGTTCTCTTGATGCTGATTTTTACAATATTTTGTTTGAGGAACAGGCCCCGGCATTAAATTTCCCTACCCGTTCGTAGCCTCAGTAGCTACGCCAAAGCGCGGCCGATCCTCTCAAAGTCACGCAGTCGGAAGACAGGGTCCCAAGACTGTGGTGAAAGAGGAGAATACTCCATTGAGGACCCCGCCGCGGGGAAGATTGTCAAAATCGGTTGCTCTACCAGGTGCCCCAGCTACTGAATCAGCACCTCTCGAATTATCTTTCAAAGCTCCAAGTGACAGAAACGAATTGCAGTTGGGCAGTACTTCATTGGACAACACAACGTTACGACACAGGCGACAACCAAGGGCACTAAAGCTGTCCAAAGCCACGGAGGGAAATGTCAACTCTGTTCTCGAAACCCCTAATAAGTTAGTTTATGTCTATTTATTACAATCTTCATTTTGGCAGCTTTGATAATCACTTTCATAATATGCCTATTTTTTAATTTTGAATACACGAACTTGAAGTCTCGACCATTGAATTAAATCGCTTTTAACGTGGCTTTACTTGTATCAACGACTTCCACCGTGTAGCGCTTCTGCTAATACAACTGGAATAGAAGTTACTGGTGATTCCTTTGTTGTTCCCGATTCGCGATCTCGAAAGCGCGTTCGTAGGGAACAGTTCAATATTTTGACACCGCGGCCAGCCGCTACCATCAGCAACTCGAACCTGTTTTCACCTTCATCGCGTCCCGCCACGGGAACACCGCGGCCTCATTTGTCACGCTACCTGAAGGCAACACCCGGAATTTCTTTGGGATGTTCTCTACTGTCAAAGAAACTAACGTTAGCTGTCAGCTGTGACAATAGCAGCATGGTCGGCACCTTGTCGGCCAGCCTCACTGGCGGAAAGAAGAAATCGTCACGCTCCCCAACTCTCGCATTGGTCTCCACTCCGAACGGACGTTCAGACGGCTCTAGCAGTTCTAGGCAATCTCTACCTGTCACTCTGCATGCGTCTGATTCTGCTGGTATGTTCTTGTGCATATGATTTTCACTGTCGCCCCATCTTTGGTGTATGGGTACAAACGCAATCTCAATGTATCTTCTGGTCAAAAGTTAAAGACATTGGGGGTGTGATTGTTTTCTCTAATTGACTTGAGAATTAGTCGTCACCAATATTGTATTTCGGCTATTTGTCTTGTTCATTTCACTTAGAAAACGTCTTCTTTTGGTCTCTTCGCTTGTCGCAGTCGCGTTTACCACTTTGTTGGTGTCCTGCTTTTCTAAGGCTAATTTCTGTTCTTGTTGGCTAAATCTCAACTCTACTACTGAAGGCTTAGTAGAATGAGATGTTTTCCGCTTCTCAGGTTTGCTGCAGTGGTGCACGTTGTCAACGGCCTCTGTAATCAAGAAGTTTACTATTTTCTTGAGAAACCAAGTTTTTCAACAACACTTTTAAATATTTTTAGGTTCGCCTCGTTGTGTTTCTCGACACATTCGACGTCAGCGGGCCTCCACTCCTTCCCCTCACTCCCCCTAAGCACCTCAATTTCCTCTTAGAACCTGATATTCTAGTCAATTTCGTCATTCATTCATATGCATTTTTATCGCCATTTGTACGCTTCCAATGGTTATCATTTTCTAATCGTCAGTTTTGACAGTTCTTGTGGCTATAGCTATTGAAATTCGCCCCTTCTAGGCTATCCTCCCGGTACGCCATAAGTATTTCTAAACTAGTTCTGTCACTTCGGGGAACTATATCTTTGAATACCCTTTTGTACCTATTTACTCCAGAGAACATGTGTTCATCGCTTCGTGGCGCATTAATTATTTCCGCTGCTCCTCGAATTTGAAGCAAAAGGAACAAACTGGTTATCAGTTTGGATGTGTATGCAGTGGGGTGTCCATGATCTGGCTTATGTTTGTTGTTGAATGTCACATTGCAAAGATCGCCATTATCATGGTTTACCACTTTCAGGGTGTGCACTATTCTAGTGTCGTGCCCGTGGCATTGGTTTTTACTTCCATATCCTAATTCGTGCTCCGGTGATAATGTCAACCACACGGTGCTCACGCACCTTTTGGAACGACTCATTGTGGATACTCTTCTCAAATGAAATAATCCGTTTGATTGTTTTACGCGGTTTAGCGCTTCCATGGTTGAGGCGATGCCTAATTTTACTTCGCGCTGTCTCGAAGTGAGGAGTGGTGTGTAGCTCGTTCGACCCAGCATTCGAGGATGATGGGTGTGATTGTCCTGAGTCGGGCCGTGGGTCGTTACAATTGCATGTAATTCTTTACTAGGGTTTTTTTGATGTTACGGCTCAACGTGATGCACGTTTGTCAGGACGCACTCCGTTGCTGGATGTAGATGCTGCAGGTGAGCTTTTGCGCCGCTCGACGAATGTATTTGACATTGCATTTACGGTCACTGAACAGAGGACTTCGAGAATTTGGTTGTGAATCGAGAAGCTGTGCTGGAGATCCTCGTAATTCCCCAAACCTGGAAGTAAAGTCCGCAATGCTCCTTCCAAGTTGCCACGCACGACCTCGCTCTGACTCCCCTGTGTGTGTTGGGGTGAAGTGGGAGGGAAAGTTTGGCAAATGTGCACTTCCTAAGATCTTATTGTCCTTCAAGCATTGTAATGACGATTAACACCAACTGAGGCGCCAACCAAAGTATAGGCAATTGTCCTGCTGTGAGCCAACTAGGCACCTATTGGTCGGCGTCAAGGCTAAACCAAATTTTGCCCTTATAACTACGCAGTAATGATAAACAAAATCTCCGCCTAGAGTAAGCGTTCAGTCTGCTTACCCAGGTGATTTATCGGTTTGTTGTTCATAGTATCACTAATAAGCAATTGCAGGATAGTTTGGCGGGTCATTATTTTGAGTCGTAACGCATTCTACAGATAAATTTTTTATCACGTTGATGCCTATTTTCAGCTTCCAATGGATACAGATACATCCTATTGGCATGGTTTTACATCGCCAATGCAAAGAGTTATTTTAAAAAATCGCTTCTCCTTACAGGACGTCAAACGACAGTAAATGTTGGGTATAACTGATTTATATCTAACTGTTCTCGCAATTCGACGCTTAGGGCATTTTAGCATTACATAGGGCACTTCTCATTACCCTCTAAAGCATGATGGGGCATCAAGGCTTGAACACTATTTGCCTTGTGAAATAGGTATTTCTAAAATAAAATAGCCCATAACTAAAAGATTTTAATTTATGCCTTGTGGTCAAGCCGTATGGCACGACTGCTTACAGTACCGTAGGCAGATAAACTTTTGTAATACCCAGGTTGCTTGTTTAACTATAGGTTTTGGTAAAGGGGCTCCTTAGTTGATCTGCCGTTGTTCCTTTGCCTGGCGGGCTGGCCTTTAGGCGCTGTCAGTTGCCCCAAGCCCTGCTGTACGTCGAAAATACATGTTCGGCTTGAGTCCTGTGTGCTCGTTCGTCTCCAACGAAGTCTTGGAATATTACACTTTCCTCATATTCTAGCTTTTTCATTTACTGTTGTAAAGCATCCGAATCATAATGAGATTCAGTCTGTATTGTTATAATTCTAAAACTGGAATCTCTATTAATTGGTGATTAGAAGATTTGAGCAGCCATTGTGATGAGTACCTGTTAACGAGGTGGGTCTTTACGAAGCCATAGTTGGTTAGGATGATTGGTAATTAAGTAAAGCCTTTCATTCTACTCAGTGTCCTTGATTTGACTCCAACGTTGACTGTGCGCGTGAGATCACAAAATCGTTTGTGTTCATCCCAAAATTGTTTAGATTTCCACTTGAATTGGGCTGGTGATTTAAAACCAATGGCTTGCGATCTAAAAATGTCTGGAAGTAATTTACAGGCAGAAGCGTTAATCTTAACCCCATTTATTACTTACAGCACAACCTTCAGAGATATCACATTATTTCGACTCGTATTTGGCGCGTTTTGTGGACTTACCAACCCAGCTCTCATTCCTAGAGGCTTGATTTTCCTTGTTGTTTCAATCGACATCCGGTTCAATTTTGTGCACATGGCACCTATGGGACCAGACCACTATCAAGGGAGTCCTCCCATGTTGTAATTTATTATTTCTCATATTACAGTTGAAGACGCCCGCTGAACCTGATCTTGTGGCACACTCGCGTTATCTTTTGTGCACTTACTACAGCCTGACTCATGGCTCCGCCAGGGTCCCTCGTCCACTCAACGACAACACATGCACGCACACACAAAAACATGGTCCTAGGGTCCCACATTCGCATTTTCTCACTGGCACTGTATTGAAGTCTTGAGGGAATGCAAAGCCGCTTCTCTCCTAAGATAGAGTGTGAAAGTGCGATATCTTTCCACCTTGAAGGTATTTGATAAAATTCACTGGCTAGCCTTCGAGGTAGTTCCCTTCCTCCCATTTAAGCCTAAATCTGCCCATATTCCTCTTCATGTATCCGTGGTATGCTCAAAGGAATCGGTAAAATGTCTAGTGGACTTGTGGTAAACCAGCCCCACCTCTGTGGCCAAAAGTACTGCGATTCATTAATTTACCCATTCGTTACCAGGGTCTCAGAGGAGAATCTATCACCACAGAGCATATATTTTAGATTCCATTTAGCGTTATGCTTCTCAAAAACCAAAGGAGTGAAAGCACCCTCAGATGCAGACCATAGTTCACCTCTTCCAGTGGTTCAAGCTCAATCGACCTGTTTGCGACACTATTTTATAGAATCGGTTATCATAAATTGATGAAGGGCGCATGTCACGCAAGTAGTGGAGGTGTTAATGTTTTTTTTTGGGTTGCTATGCTCTTTACTGTTTATGGCTGTAAAAATACTCCATAATGACTGACTACCTTGAATTGTTGATTCGCTTACTTACTAAGAACATGGTTTGGAATTTAATTTAACATTTTTGGTTATACTTTTACCAAATCCATATGATTTTGTAGTCAATGAATTCTCAGGTCTTATACTCGCCTGTTATGATATGAAATAAATTACCAAGTTTATGGATTACCATTTTCGCTGTCCCTGCTATTATAGAAGAACATCCAAGGGATACTTCAAAGAAAAGAAAAAAATACTGACAGAAGTGCCTATTTCCACAGAATGAGAGTTATTCTAAGAAGTCTGCATATACACATCCCAAATCTGTTTTTATCACTTTAATTTTTGCAGAAATTCAGTTGTACTATGTGCCAAGCTGTTACAATCACACATTTCCTGGGACATAGTCAGAATTTGCCATCAGTCAAATCTGATGCCAAGCACATGAACATATTTGACGGGTTGATTGTGTTGAGAAGACACTTTTGAGATCCACTTTTAAGCCAAGGAGAACTTAGAGAGGAAATGTCTGATGCAAATTTCTAAAGGCTAGAAAAAGTGCATTACTTGATGGCAAGTCGGAAGAAATGCAAACACCAGAAGGCAAGACTATTCGTTATGGAGAAATAGAAAACAATTTCATGCAAGATTAAAAATTTTCAGTTGGCGAATGATTAAACTGGGGTCGCATCTGATGCTTTAACTCAACTTCGGAATTTTACATCTCTCGGAATAAACTACTTTCAAATGTAGAAGTTAAGAAATTAAGACAAACAGCTCTAGCTTTAAGTGACTATTCTTATTGGATATGCATAGTCGAAAATTATATCACCAGTCTCAAAACGACAAGGCTACTCTTAGTATAATTTGCCTCCAATTATGTACTAGCCCTGGTAGCAGAATGCAGACAGTAGTTAAACAGTACCTTTTTAATTTTAACAAATCAATAAGAAATACCCAGTGGGCAGTATGCCATTCCATTATTTGTGGTATTACGGGATGAAAGTTGTTTTAAAGTGGGTACAGCCAAACCATGGAAAAGAGATAGCACAGTAGAATATTGTGCACGTGCAGCGCTGTTTCTAGACTATGTAACGGTTAACTTTCCTGCAACTTTTCGTAGTACGCAAACATTTTCAAAATAAATTGTGGGAATGGTAGTCGTTTTGTACATGTTCCCCAAAGTAGGATGTGCTTATGTTCGGTTAAACAATAATACTTTCCGCAGATAAAATTCTGAGTAATTTACTGGTTTAATAGATTCTGTTGATCTCTAAAGTCCCTTTCAAATTTATCTAATTTAAGCTAGCCACAGAATAATCGTGCATCAGTAAAATTTTCTATAAATTCATGCCTATGGAAAATTTGAGCTGATCAAGGGGCTTTCAGCATAAGTTTTCTCGGGACAGTTAGGTCACTAATTTTCCTACATGGGGGCTGATGCAAAATACATTTAATTTGTACAAATTTAATCCACAAAGTGCTGTATGGTCATTTATTAAACATTGATAGGGATCTTAGGCATTTGTGGATGATTTGGCTTGTCAGTTCATGATGATAAGCCTGTAGGATATTGTACCCAGGTATATGCCATTTTAAATGCTGAGGGTGGTAAACACCAATAAGGAGCGGCGTTATATTGACCTAGGTATAATAATGCGGGGGGAGGTAACCAACAGGCTTGTAGCGTAAATTGTAAAGCATGCATGCATTCAAAAGTTCCTTTGTTGATGGATCCGAGTTAATACTGTTCTTGAATAGGCTTATAGTCAGCAAAAGAATATGCCAGAAACCAATTTTTCCATTTCTCTATTGCACATGTGCTGACCTCTAGGTTCAAACCTTCGAATCGAGAAGGTTAAATGGTGGTGTAGATTATTGTAGCCACACTGGGTGCAGATGTCCTAACCTTTGCACGAGGTGGTCCAAATTGTGTCACTCTTGGGTGTCTGACACAGCTCGAGTAAAAAAGAAGAAACGGTCAACCATAAGCCCCCGCTGACAATGCTAGGCAAACTTCTCCGCGAAACAATTCAGTTAAATCTTTGCTTAATAGGCGGTCTCATTGTTAAAGTTTTTCCAAATCAATCTTGGTAAATGGTACCTAATTCTATTACTGATGCTTTCTTGATGGCATTTGTCATTATGCATACTATGCAGAGATGTAAAAAGCAAACCCACTACTAATAGAAATTGCGAATTACAAACAGTTAATAATTAGAGACGGAAGAAATTCTGCTGATTCAGATTTTTATCATAAATTTGCTGAAATCAAACTTGTAAAGTAGGTTCAGATTACTGTGATTTTTAAGTTTACGTCAAATGAACGTCTCATTGAGTCTTGATGAATATTGTGCCAAAAGAACCACCATTTCCCACCCAAAAGCAAGTTGGTGACGGATAACGCTCACAGTAATTGGTGGGCTCATTTAAAGAAATTGGAAATGTAAACCCGACTCTTTTATTTACGTGACAGTCAAATTCCTGCTTAGACTGGCGAAGCGATTATTTGGCACTGACAGATCTTTAGAGTCGCAATTAACAGGCAGTACCTTAAACCAAAACCGCGAAAATTATCTGTTTTTAGCTGGGCTTCAACAAACCATATCTTTTCTATGATAATGATTGTGCAAGATTTATATTTGTTGATGTGCAGTGGTAGGTAATTACATCTTGATGTTAAGCATAAAACATCGAATCGGTCTCGAAAGAATTTAGCTTATTCCGGTTCACCCACTTGTGAAATTCAGGAGGCTATCATTAATTCGGTAATTTTCTTTAGAAAGACCACTAGCCTTCCTATTTAGCATCTGGCGACAGTCTGATTAAGCAGCGTAAAGAATCAATGGGAATATCATCTTACAAAAACGGCCACCAGCAAATGCATGGGATGTTAATGTATCCACTTTTTCGGTTTCGCCGCTACTCTTCAAGCCTAAAATTAATTTTGGTATGGGAATTACCACCCAACCCTCAGTCCTTCAGTTCTGCAATCGCATATTTATATTTAAATTCACACAAACCATTATTCCTCCATAATTTGACTCCACGAATCACTGGAAATCTATAAGATTCAGCTGAGTACCGGAAAAGCTTCAGTTATCATTGACTGTGATTGTAAGAGGAAACAGGTATTTGTTATCAATTCATTTTTCCTGTTCTGAATGAAATTTGCCATTTGGTTGCCAGGATGTGATAGTTCGATACAGGTTTTTGTCGTTGTGTAAATTCAGGTAACGAAATCTGACCAGCTACTGTGTATGCACTGCACGATCAGGTAAAGCAGACATCAACCATTTCCCCAAGCTACCTCCAAGAGCAGGTTTGTCACTTCGTAGGTAATGCACTGCCAAATCTCATTTTAGCCTTAGGAAATCGGGCTGCAAATACAGCTACATTTCTACTCACTTAGAAAATCTGCAATTTGTAAATGCTTTCAGTGCCAAGGTGAGTTCTCCGAAGCGGCAGCCATGCTCTGGAAAGTAACAGCCAGTTGACCTTGAAATTGTGATGACTCATTTGAACCTAGTAGCTGAAATTTGTTGATACGCCGACATCATTTTTTGCTTTTACATTCAGTACTCGAGGAAAATTGCAATGTCCTGATCGATAAACGCAAATGTCGAGAAACTTTAGCATAACTAAAGTGGGACCTTTGATTCGATTCGTTATTTGCTAGGCAATGCATCTGTCCTACCACACTGACATAAATCCGACAAAGAGGTATTTACACACTAGCCATCTCATTGAAGAGAAAATACATGAATTAGGCTAAAGTAGCAACATGAATAGTAATCCTGCCGAAAAGTTAGTATCCTCAGACTGAAATCACTACATCAATTCTTAAGAAAATGATTTGCGACTTAATCCAGCTTCGGTGATCAAAATTACACCGACCTACTTTCCAGCTCATCTAACCCACCCTTTGGCGAACTGAGGAGCACCTGTGCCATTTACGCCCGGGTAGAAGCTGATATTTCATGGGGAAGTCAAACCTATATCAGCAGCAAAAAATCTGAACGAAGTGCCAACATAGGAGAATTGCGCCTACTACAAATGCTATCAACTCATCCTAGCTAGAGATTGCTTACCACTGTAGGCACGAGGCGATTACCTTCGAATACAACTTCATACAGTTATAACTCCTAATTTTAAGGCCAGGTTATTATAAAAATGAGCCATATGATCAACACATTTTTTGTGCTAGGTGTCTGAACAGACAAAAAATTGCATTTACTAACATTCACTTAATTCTTCTAGACTTGTTTAAGAGTCAATCGTGAAGGATTATTAACCCCAACGCAGGGCAGCAAAGGCAATGGCAACCCAGCGCGGCGAGCAGATATCAAAGTGTTCCGGTCTCGCGAACACACGGAAGCCCGCCTTATGCGCAACAGAGATGTAGTACTTAGCGTTTTCATAGCGTTTCCCTCGGAGGTAGTCCTTAGAAGCCAATCCGTTAGTGAGATTGTTTAAGACAACTGCAAAGAGGCATTCGTCTGCTATCAATCGGTCCTGAAAACTGCGCAGTTCAACAGGTTTTCCTGCACGCGCCAATTGATCGTTGACCCATCGGAGCAACTCGTGCTCGTCGTAGGCATCGTGAGTGAGGTAACTTCGAAGCATCTCCATGAGGAGAACTTCACACATCTCCTGATCACTCGTGGTAAGTCGTGAAGCATCTAGACTAGGTAGACGGAAGGAATATCCCTGCACTAGTCGGAGAATGCATGTATTATTCTGCAGAAATTGGGCATCTCGACGAATCAAATCAAATTCATGTGTAAACTTCACTCCTGTTGTGAAGCCCGGCCGCAGTACTTCGAACACCTGTTTTGCAATCAACCCGTCTCGCAAACTACTTATCACGTGAGTGCAATAGGGCTTGACATTGATAGAATTGATAAAGTTACGTGAGGACAGTTCGTTGACATCTTCCTTAGAGATAGGGAAGTCCCCACCACCATATGCCTTCATTTCACCTGCAAATCTGTCGAATAGGAAGGCCACCGTCATGAGGTGGAGCACACCGCGAGATTTTCGTTGGTGTTCAGGATGTAGGAAATCATCTTCACAGAGAAACATTTCTGCTCCAAGCTCCCGTAAATTTTGGAGAATGGCTTTGGCGCGATTATCAATATTGCTATAGACCAGCACTTGATGATCAGGAAGAAGTCTGGGTCTGATGGTTACTGGGGCGATCTTGTAGAGCAGATGGGCGTATACAACGCAATCGGAGAGATCGTATTCAAAGTTTGTCAGAACGTTAGTAATTCCCGCGCTCCTAAGGTGGTAATTCACAAATCTGGTGAGAATCTGTTCTGGTGACAGACATTTCAAGTCATTTATGTCTTCATGCACTTCCCGAAGAGTAAATATTTCAGGGTGTTCATGAATGTTTATATTTCGGTAGTAGCCCTTTAGAATGACTTGCTTAAGGAATTCAAGGGTAGCCAATTTGAAGTTGGCTCTGGTGCCCATCAAGTCATCCACTGTGATATTTTTGACAGCACAGCCATTGCAGCGTGCTGCTGTGAGAGCTAGTTGAAGATTTTCAACCCTGTGACTGGCGTAGAAAAGGTTGTTACTCATATTGATGGCTCGTTCGTCAATGGCATTGGAGAAAAGACAGTTGATTATTTTACAAGGAATAACACCCTCCGCAACAGCTTCATAAAGCTTGTCGCTAAATGGATCCAGGGGCATATATGCCCTGCAATCCAGGTCGGCGCTAAGCTTCTTGTTAATGAATCGACAAAACCCACTTAGAAGGCCAGCCTCATAGACCTACAAAAAGCCAAAGCAGCTTTGACGTCGCTCTGGCAAGCTTAATCACTGACTAACTGGCATTAGTCATCTCGGCTGACTGTGGGAAGGTAGAAAGCACAACTCTTAGATCCCAGCCACCACGGTCGCCGGCATCAATACTGTGTTTTCGAGAACAGACTACTGGTTTCATTGCAGTTAGAAGATGCGAATGACTATTTAGAGGTGACGTCGATGGATTTGCTCATCTTCCTAACGTTCAGTCTATTTAACATTAGATCATGCAAATGTGCATAATATTTTTTTAAAGAACCTAGTCTAAGTGTCCTTGTTTTAAAAGGAAAAAATACTTTCAACCAATAAAGATCGTATTTTGCTTTTAAATAACCTGCAAAAATGATCTTACCTCCTCGGTGGGGAAATAGCCACCACATGACATGTTTGGTCCAAATACACACAAAGTAGTCTGTTTTTTGTAGCATTCAAAACGAGTAAATCAATTGTCCTCCACGTGGTCTGAGTGTAACGGCGTTTCATCCTTACCTGGTTGTAATGCCACATTAGTCAAGTGAGGTGGAATGCTCCAAGCAATGGTGGTCTGGTGAAGGCGTATCATCACAACTCCAAAAAACGCGCAAAAATCGGAGTCACCACCAACAGCACTGAGTTGCAGTGTCAGGGTTTAATTACTGTGCACGATTTCTTTTTCAGTACATGCATAAATACACCTGAAAAACGGTGCCTTAGCGGTAAGATGTACCGATCATGATTTACGGTCCCATTTACATGAAAAATTGTAAGCACTATGTTAAGTTGATTATGTCATCCAGATGGTACTCAGCTTGTCAAAATGAGGACATTAGAGTGTCCTTCCGAGCAAACGGGGCCAAACACACTTATCGCATTAATGATTGGAGCTAATGCTCTACGAATTTTTCTTAGCTATGTGCAGGATTCTTTTTTGCAAAAGATTTGCTTTTATTGATGAGTAGAGTTTTTAAGGTACCTCTGGAACTCCAGGACTCGGATCTATCATCTGGCCTACGAGTATCGCGGAGGCAGGTGATTTGCCGAGATGAGAAGACCCCTTGAAATGACGCAGGTCTACTCGCCTAGCAAAATGCCCATTTGGCCAAGTGTGCGCGCCAAGTAGTGCAATGAACAGCGTGGCGGTTGTACGAATATTTACGCAGCCTGTGTGTTACTGCGCGCGGCGTGTCCTCCTGCGCTGTTGGTGCATTCGCGCATATCAGCCGCAGGCGGATGCGCACGCGAGCACGCGCACTGCAGTCGTTTAGCCGAGACCGTTGAAAGGCCACCAATGCAGTGAATCCACGAGAGAACTACGCATAACGCAACATTCCAACATGCATGTTACACATCGATCTGCATATTAGGTATGTAGCCTTCAAAAACGCACCAAACGCTCCACCTAGCTGGATCAGCTTTATTTACATAGGAAAATTCATAAAATGCCTTTAAAATAGGTTTTTTTTGAGGATCTAATTTTACAAAACAAAGTCAATTGAGACTAATAGACATAATACCGGTCCTATCCGTTTTCGGAAATATCAAATTATTTTTTTTCTGGAAAAGCAGCACCGCTTTTGACTCGTAAAAAATTTTAGTAAAATCTCTAATAAGTAAAATCTGCAAGATGATCGATTTCTGTATTTCTTGAAGTTCCTGTATGGAAACGACCGCTCAAAGTCGGAGAGGTGGACTCATCTGCAAAATTTAGCCCAGCTGATAGCTTAATTGCTTAGTTTTAAGTGATCAAGAAATGTCGGTGGAAATACTATCGGTTTCTGGTGGTCACAAGTCAATGACGTGTAGGGTTGACATTGGGCTTCAGAAAACGTTGTACAAATCCCAGGTTTAATCAGCACCCGAGGTAAAATGCCCTCGCTAAATCCTGTCCTAGTTGGTGTATCATCAACTCATCCGGCGGGTTGACCTCACGGCTCCGACCCGCCGGTGTCTGAGCCCTCCGATTTGAATTGCAGACCGTGAAAAAAAAACTGCAACTAAGTCAAAAAAACAGGTAAGCCACACGAGCAAAGTACAACAAAATCAGGCCATGCTGTGTGGGTTCAACTTATTGTTTATTTTGAAAACGCCTGATCTGAACTACCAATCCAATTGGCTATTCTAATCTCGAGCGGAACATTTGCGGAGGGCAAATCAATGTCGGCCCGTGGCCAAATGCATGCAACCGCGCAGTGCATGCGCTTTCTGAGCGTGCATGATGTTTCTGCAACGTGTTGTTTATGCAGGACAGCGACATGCAGTGATTGCGTGATGCGGCACCAAGACCGATCAAGGCTACACATTCCAATGAATGGTTCATTTTAGCGGAAGTACCACCATCAGTATTAATCACACGAAGTTATGTTAGAATCTACAAACAGACCAATATCGGTCAGACAGTGATACACTTTCACTTCTATTAAACTTGCAATATGAAACTCCTCATGGATGTATACAAGTGTAGGCCTCAAGCATATTTTCACGGCTTTTAAAATCACCTATAAATCTCACCTGCTACTTCCAGATTCCATGAACTTCAGAATCTGGCTACTTTACTTCCCACCTGATTTAGATATACCAAATGGGTTTTCATCCACCGAATACGTCAGGCATGACTAGGCTTCACATGATGCAACGAAAAGCCAACTTCAGATTCTCACGAAACGCACTGAAACAAACCTAGTGCTTACACGATTGTTTTTGTGAGGCATTTAACTCGATAAATGCACAGTACAGGAGCGCGGACGGCTAGATGGGAGTGACCACGACAACGAGTCTCAAGCGGTAATCCTATGCCAGTGCCTCCACATTAACGTACAAAGCGAGGGCAGACCAGGACGAGGAACACGGGGCAAAAACGTGGCCCCCTCAATCACATGACTAAGCACGTTTGCTTGCTGGATTAGTGATAACCACGATAAAAATCGAACCCACGAGCCAATCCACTATCCTTCCACTTAACTCAAAATATTTTCACCCCTCCACTGAAAACACGTGACCAGCCAACTTCAATACAAGTGCTGGAATGGACATACTTAGTTTGATAAGAGTTGCGCAAACAAGATCTTACAAAGCATTCAAACATAAATACCTACGAACAAACCCAAAACACCACTGGGAAAAGCCCAACGCCCCTACGCTAAGATATTGCCAAGGCAAGAAGACACGGCTGAAAAACAAATTAAATCTCAAGGTAGGGCGAACTCAGTACACCTAGACTAACCATATTGATGGCTAAACAGTAGTTTTCCCTACCCTACAACAGTAGGAAAACTAGACCGATTTATGCAGGAAGTTTCATTATCGCAATAGGCTGGGGTGGAATAAATCTGCGCGAGTTCAAATAGCAGGGGGAGGGTGGAAGGACATTGTTCGCAAGATGGGAGAAAAGGACACAGTAAAGAAAATTGTGGAGATGCACATTTTCGACTCATTGAGTGGAATTAGAACAAAGGCGGATCTATTCGTTTGCGTAACAGAGCAGGTGGTACGAAAAACCCGCGAACGCTCATTAGTGCTCGGGTGTGCGGGAATGAAGAGAGGCAACAATAAGGAGTGGGCCGGTATTCCTGGAGAAAAGAAAGGATATATTTCGAAAATCGACTAACAAATACATTTACACAGATGGGCAGAGGCGATGGTGACCGTTTGAGAGCAGCTGATCCGTTGGGCAAATTAAAGCTCAATGTATAAACTATATATTTATCATGAGAAGGCAGCCTGTAGAAAATTTCGCTCCTAATTAGAAAGTGAGAAAATGAACCCAAAACAAAAAGCCCAACAGACAGCAGGAGATGGATGAAAAGCGTAAAGGAAAAAGTTGTGCAAAAAGACAACGACTCCCAGAAAGAGCAAGTGTAAATGTGTGCGGGTAAAACAACGCAAAAAGGTGATTTTGGACGTTAAAGCGGATGAATTGTCGTCATTCTTTCATCGTCACTTTTTCCGCATGAGTGTGAGGAACTTCTTCTTGGGCTTCGAGGGTCCAGAAGCCTGCGCATCACTAGTACTGGGTTCAGAAAGGTGGAGTACTGTGGAGGGGAGAGTTGCTGAGCGTCCCGCAGGAGCTACCAATCCACCCTCTACATCCTCCTCCTCTGTGGGAGGCATCACGGTGACGGGAGCTGGAAGCGAAGCCGCGATTGAGTTGATGGCTTCAACCCAATTGTGCATATCATCCTCCGAGGGGCATTGGAACAAAGACTCGCCGCCATTGAACAACTTTAGACGAAATACACACGGACGCTTTTCGTAGTTGGTTGCAGGAGCAGCCACGGCACCAGCAAGACTAACTGGACCCTCTTTGTGATAGAGGTGTCCCGGCTTATCATGAGCAGACCGGGCGTCTTTGTAGGCGGAGAGGGTGCCCAAAGTGGCGTTGAGCACAAAATAAAGCTCGTGCCAAGAGCGTCCGGATGCTCGTTTGGCAGCGGTCTCCCATTCATGCTTTCGGTGGAGAACAGCTTCGAGATTGTGAGGAGCAGGACGACCAGAATCAACGGACTCACGAAGAGAGCGACCCGTCGGTGTTTCAACACCACGACGGAGCGGAGTGCCATGGAAAGAACCGAGAGCAGCAGCCGTCTGAGAGGTAGAAGGGAGAGGCTGGAATTCTCGACTAGCGTCGGCTATCTTTTGATCAATCGCTTTCTTGCGTGCGGCCTCACTTTCAGGTGTTCGCTCCTTAGCTTTCAATTCAAGCTACAAAAAAGAAAGTTTCGCATAATCACCGGTTTGGTTTGTCGCAGATGCCGGATGAAATCTTAAAATTAGGTTTTGTTGGACAGTGGAGTTGCAAATGTTAGTGAAATAAAATCGACGTACCGAATTACCCTTTTGTTACTGTTCCATTTGCGCACAGGACATTCATTTACATAATCGAACATAAATCAAACGCACATAGATGGTTGCCTGACATAAGAAGAGCATTTGTGAAGTATAAACTTGTATACACAATGAGCACATAGGAGGGTAGTCTTCAAACACGAACATAGAGCCTTAAATCAGTGAAACCAGAAAATCAGGTCAATAGGGTTTCCATGGAGTAAGTCAAATCATAGAAAACAACTGACCAAAATTAACTTCAAAAGAAAGTGTGTTTGTTTACCATAGTCTCCTTCTGGAGGGCGATAAACCGTTCTTCCTGAGTAGCCACGGCCTTTTCAAAGGCTAGGTGTTTTTTGAGTAAGGCAAGGGTCTCATCCAGGGAGTCACCAAGATCGGGACTCTTGACAAATGACTCCTGAGCGACAAGCCAGGCTTCCGCAATCGCAGCATCGCGAGCGAAATGATAGACCTCCAACATCAGTTGGAGATTCTCGTTCCTATCGTTCCATTGCTCCAACAGGAGGACACGCTCAGTAACCAGCTAAGAACAGCCACCAAAAACATTAAAAATGTTATTACAAACCGAACATCATAAATACGTGAACTGCATTCTAATTTTCTTTGATAATACTTTTATAGAATCAGACATTTACGTAGCCGATTCTACAGTTTACCAGCAGTTAGATGCGAGTTGACAACGAGAAGTGCTCAGTCAAGAAATTTGCAATATGTGGACGTCGATTCTATAGACAGAAGCATGACGCTGTGACGATTACCAAGAGCCCATTCATGCACATTAATGAATTGAGATAAGGTTGGACTGATCTCATTGAAGCAATTTAAACCAAAACGATAAAAAACAGCAAAATCCATGCGATTAAGACAAGATATAGCGTTAAAATATTATTGGTCAGAGATGTCACATGACGCCTTTGGATAATAGGACGTTATTGATAGAGCGTTATACATTTCAATTGTGATCACCGTTCACATTGTTAGTCTGCTAGGTTAGTTGGCAATTTTATCGTGACCTTCTACGCGCTTCACTGAGACGAGTCATTTTCAGAAAAAGTTGTTGGCTAAATTCATCAGGATTTACAAACAACCGATGCGTCAGCGATATCAGATAACGGTAAAAACCTAGGTTATATTGCAATAACCAAGGGCCGCGAATCCCTACTAACTTTCGAAAATGCTGACACCAATCTCAGTCACCCTTCCTACGTTTCAATCTGCTTTTCTACATTCCATGAGAATCTGGCATGGAAATCACACAACTGCGTAACATTGAGCCGCAAGTGCAAGCTGTTTTTGATCAGGAGACTTGTAAATCGCCTCCAGGCCAAAAGACGAATTACACAGTGCGATGCAACCTGAATAGCCGATAAAAAATAAAGGCCGAAATGTAATGGAGCATACAGACTCGTTAGTAAAACATGTAAATGAAGTGCCATCCAAAACCACCTGAATGCATTTGTCTCGAATTTCTTCCTCCCTTGGGTGGCGTCGATTGAGGAGAGTTCGTCCCAGGCTCAAGCAGATGCTGAAGTTCTCCTCACGAGCATCAATCTCGGCCTTTAGACTCTTGTGATTGTTCATCAACAACTCAACACCCGATACATCCCTACAAGGAAACAGAGCCAAGCGTCAACATCTCCGTGGATGGAACTAACAGGAATGAATCAATTAGGAAATTTTTGAATAGTAATGATAACGACGGCCGAAATAACACAACACGATTTATAAGTGGACTTGCATTAGATGGAAAACTACAAGATACGGACAGTGAAAGTCATTGAGTGTAAAGATACAATTCAGGAACGTAAAATATCCTCAGAATCAGTGCGCTTTGCAATAAATCGCAAAACCGGCTAGTAATATTGTATACTACTTGAAAAAACATCGTGCCCAGTTGTAAAGAAGCAATAAATGCAGGTAAACACCTTGGTTTTTCTTTGATGGTCATCTCGGTGCGCATGGTATCCATCCAGAGTTGGAGCTCACGAACCATTGCTAAGAATCTGTGAACATCGCCGGCATCGAGCAGGTGAATCTTTCTCTGCTCAGCGGCATATTGGAGTTGCCTCCAGGCCTGGACGACTTCATCACGGCGATCACATATGATGCTCTCTTTCTCGCTAGCGTAGCTGGGCAGCAGGTTGTTGGCAAAGTCAATAACCTCCTCTACCTGTTGGCCGAGGCGGGAGAGCTCCGCCTCGAAAGCTGCGTGCTTGCGCTGCAGCACTGCGACCGCCTTGGCGTCACGACCGACGTCCTCCGGAATGGCACCTGCTTTCTCCGCAATCCTGAGCATGGAATTATCACCAATTAAACATCCATGAGTGCACAGCGGATAACATCCGTATAACTATTTTTAGACGCCGTAGAAGGACCGTGTTTGATGTGTGCTTACACATTCGAGGTGGCTAAATAAATTGAAGGAAATTGCTCAAATCAACCTCACCTGTCAAGAACATCCTGACAATCACAGAGGAATTTGTGCAGATCCCAAGCAGCCTTGAGTAATTGAATGCTGGTCTCTATTAGTTCGAGAAGGTCGGCCCAGGCCTCATTGACACGATCTTTCCAGCTGGCAATTTCAGCCGCTTCTCCATGACCTTGAGCAATGAGAGCATCACAGAGCTCGTTGGCGGCAGCAACTCGGTGCTTGCCTAATTCGTTTGTTTCCTTCGAGAAATCCGCAAAACGCTCTCTTAGCAGACAACAATGCTCGTAGTCGGCACCCATCTCGTGGCTACTAGCGATGACTGTACGCTCGTCAATCCAGGCCTAAAGGCAGGGCATTTTACATTAAATAATAACTTCTGAACGCTATAAAAAGTGTTTACTACTGAAGATGAAACCTGCCTCTAAATCAAGGATCTCACGGAGAAGGCTGTAAAGCTTCAAAATCTCCTCTAGTCTTAGCCGGCGTTCCAAACAAAGGTCATGCAATCCGGCGTACATCTTGTCTACTCTTGATTGTTTGGCGGCAACCACTTCACTTTCAGGATGGTCAGACTCAACCATGGCACGACTGCGGTCGCCCAGAGAGCGGATTTCGCTGGCGTAGTTCTCAATGGTTTTTTGCAGCAGCTCATGCTTCTTCATGGCATTAGTAGCGCCTTGCTCGTCTTTGGCCTTCTCGTCACCCATAAGGTAGAGCTCCTGTTCACCCATCCAGGCCTCCGCCTCACTGGCATCGAAGAGGTATTGCTGGGCAATCTCATTCTGCGCCAAAGCAGCCTGGCGATCGGCCAAGGCCTGACGCAGTGTTGCCCACAAAGCACGTACCTCGTCGATGCCCTCACGGAACTTTTCACTATGCGGGTGGCCTTCGGCAATCATTTTCTCCCCTTGCTATTTAAGGGAAACAAAGTGACGCATCGGACTGAATTAAAGTCGAAAACTATAAAGGTTCGTAACCAATCGCCCACCCAATAATTCAGTATTAAGAAAATCAATATAAGATTAAAAAAACCTCACCTGACAAACAGCATCAACGCGCGGCTCATGATTGTCGACTTCATTGGTTAGCATCTTGTGACGTCGTTGCAACTGCTGGTTAATAAGGAGGCTTGACGCCATTCGACCGTGATCCTCGATAAGAGCAAGTTTATCGCGGATCCAATCCTTCTCGTCCTCCAAATCGCGGAAGAACTGGCGTACCCGCTTCTGTTTGAGAAGGCGATCGCGCCTCTTAGCCATCGGGGCCTCAAGCTGCATGAGTCGGATCCGCACCTCCTGGTGAACCTGCTCAAACTCATCCTTCCTGTCGGGATATTGCTCCTTCAACTTTTCGGCATGATTCTATAAACAGAAAGGAGTGTTGCATTCAGACATGTGAGCGGCAGAGGTAGTTCTAAGTTACTCACAGCCATATCTTCGAGCATCTTGCGCTTGGCCATAAGCTCTTGCTCCTTCTTCTCCTGATCTTTGATTTGTTCATTTAGTTCGACCAGCCCAACTTCTTCGGTCACCTCCTCCGTGGTGGTAACAATCTGCGATGAAACTTCGGTAATCCAAGTAAGCATTGACTTGGCTGTTTCGTCGAACAGAGCCTCGCGATTGGAATCGGCCAACTTAGCGCTCTGCTCCTGAGCTTGATTGTTGAGGTCGACCCACTGGCGACGCAGGACTTCCATGCGTGGCTCGATCTCCGCTTGCAGTTGTGGTTGCTCAGCCATCAGCTGCTCACCGTCGGCAATGACCTTCTCAATCTTGTCCTTGTTGGCGTCCAACTCACTCTCAAAAGTCTTGAATTTTCCATAGATGGCAGCAATACCAACACCACTACAGGGTGGAGGAGCTTGCTGAGCCAGAATCGCCTTTTCTGATATCCATTCCTCAACCTATAAAGTGTATTCATAAGTATATAGCGATAGGCTTCATTTGTGCATCAGGGACTAAAAAAATGTTAAAGCTCTAATTTGTTAAAAGCACAACGTTTAAGCTGAGTTGGACGTAAACTATTCCTATTATGTTATGTATCTAAAAGAGATGTAGGTTAGATGGGATTAAATAGTGCATGTGCAGAATACCTCATGCTGACTACTGAGTGCTCATAAATCGTGTCTATAGGGTTTTTACAAAAAACCAAAATAACAACAGAAAACATCCGGATTGTACGTCATTACGAGCGCTAGTTCTTATTCAACGTAACATTAGTCCCCATGGCTTCAACTTCTACAAG